CATCTTCCTCGTTCCCCGAACCCTCTTCCCTGTGTGTTTCTCCAGTGAGGGAGTCATAGCACACGGCTGAGGTAGTGGTGGCTGCACCCCCTAGAATGGCATGCAGCTCCGCGTAGAAGCGGCAAGTTTGCAGCTCTGCCCCGGACCTTCCGTTTGCCTCACTGGCTTTGTGGTAGGCTTGCCGTAGCTCCTTAATTTTCACGCGGCACTGCTGTGCGTCCCTGTTATGGCCTCTGTCCTTCATGGCCTTGGAGACCTTTTCTAATACTTTGCCATTTCTTTTACTGCTACAGAGTTCAGCTAGCACTGATTCATCTCCCCATATGGTGAGCAGATCCCGTACCTCCCGTTCGGTCCACGCTGGAGCTCTTTTGCGATCCTGGGACTCCATCACGATTACCTGTGCTGATGAGCTCTGCGTGGTCACCTGTGCTCTCCACGTTGGGCAAACAGGAAATGAAATTCAAACGTTCGCGGGGCTTTTCCTGTCTACCTGGTCAGTGCATCTGAGTTGAGAGTGCTGTCCAGAGCGGTCACAATGAAGCACTGTGGGATACCTCCCGGAGGCCAATAATGTCGAATTCCGTCCACACTACCCCAATTCCGACCCGCAAAGGCCGATTTTATCGCTAATCCCCTCGTTGGAGGTGGTGTAAAGAAACCAGTTTAAAGGGCCCTTTTAGTCGAAAGAAAGGGCTTCGTCGTGTGAACGTGTCCAGGCTTAATTCGATTTAACGCTGCTAAAGTCGACCTAAACTCGTAGTGTAGACCAGGCCTTAGTCATAGTCTTCCTCTCTGGGTTCCTCATCCAGTCTCATCTCCCACCCCTCCCTGTCTCCTGATCTCAGTCTTTTTGCTCAAATAGTCCCAGTTCTACCCCTGTGCCACAGTTCCTTGTCAGATGTCCCCCCTCCCCAGTTTCCTTTTCCACATTGGTTCCTAATCCAAGTCTCCTTGTCCAGCTACTCCCAGTCCCCTCTCTCACCCCATCCAATCTCACTGTCCCGCTCCCCCTAGCCTACAGGTTCCAGACCCACCATTCCTCTCACCAGCTCCCACTCCCAGTTTCCTTGCCCAGCTATCCCCGATCTTCGCCCCACCCCAACTCCCACTTTTTCTCGCTTCCTCCCACTAGCTCCACCCTCTAGCTCTTGTCCCTTCTGCATCTGAATCAGGCAACTTCCTCTTCCAAGCTGCAGGGACCAATCGGGGGGGAGGGGTATGTGTGTGTCATTAAGAACACAGAGAGACAGTTTCCCTGTTCCATGTTCAGGTGCCTGGACCCAGCATGCCCATAGCAGCCCAGAGCCAAACTGCACGGAAAGTCCTGCTCATCCCTGGGCTGCAGTGTGCCCCGAGTGACTGGAATCTTCAAGGATGTAGTTGCTAAAATCTAAGTCTCTACTGAGCATGTGTAAACTATGATTTTTCAAAGGCTTGTAACTGAGCCAAATTTGGGTCTGGTCCACACTAACCCCCCACTTCCAACTAAGATACGTAACTTCAGCTACGTGAATCATGTAGCTGAAGTCGAAGTACCTTAGTTCGAACTTACCGCGGGTCCAGACGTGGCAGGCAGGCTCCCCCGTCGACTCCGCGTACTCCTCTCGCAGAGCAGGAGTACCTGCCTCGACGGCGAGCACTTCCGGGATCAATTTATCGCGTCTAGACAAGATGCGATAAATCGATCCCAGAAGATCGATTGCTTACCGCCGGACACGGAGGTAAGTATAGACCTACCCTTGGGGTAATTTTAATGGGAATGGCAAAAGGAACATCCCTGACACAAAGGACACCCCTCCTGCCAAATCTCAAGTCTCCAAATCCCAAATCTCCAAAGCCTAGGGGCACTGGAGCTTTTCAAAGAAAAGATCATCAGAGTTTTTTAAAATGGGCAAAATAATGTATTTTTTCCTAGCTTGAGACAGATAGCTGTCATGCAAAATTTCAGCCAAAATGGTTAAAATTTGGCAAAGTTATAAGCAATTGAAAATGGGGTATTTACAATGGGAAGTGCCGAGCAATCTTAGTAATAGGAGGTGCTACAAGACTCATCTGTAATGATTGTAAACCTACCAAGTTTTACTTTTTAAGAAAGAAAAAAAACGACACTTATAAAAGGAAGTTGGGACTCTATTTAAAAATGATAGCATATATGAAAATCCTGGCTAAAGTTCAAAATGATAGTAAGGGGAGCTGCAAACTCATAATGAACTAAATCATTAAAAACCAAAAGCATTTTGGCTAATAAATATAAAAGCCATGCAATTGTGAACTTCCAAAAACTGTGTAATATTCAAAATATGTAACAGTAATACAATTATATCTGAAGATACCGATAGAAAACTGTTTACTGCAACTAGGTACATTCATAGTGGCATTTCCTGCATACCAATATTTCTACTTCATTCACACTGACATCTGACTTAAGGATTCATTGCTAAAGCTCTTTTGCAGTGCCAAAGTTCCTTTGCAAAGTCTATGGCTTTAAAGTTCTTTTAAAATATCAGGAAAATTCAATACAAAAACAAGCTGTGGCCAGGTGTAGAGGAACTATCTATTCTGCAGTACACAAGAGCTTAACTTCAGTTTCCTTTCTCTTTTCCCTACACAGCTGCTCTGGGGAAGGGCAATAAGATCTTATTGAAGAGACTGAAGTGAAAATACCTGTGGGAAGAAAGGGTGCTACACCAAGGTACTGAGTGAACACTATGTTGGGGAATGTTTTTGTAATAGGTTTTTTGCTTATGTTGAGAAAAAATTTACTCCTGCTGAAAAATCTTGTTTGTTATAGCAGTTTTATTGCTGCTAAATCAACCTACCGGCTTAAAACAGATAAGTAAGTTAATTCAAAATGTAAGGTTTCTACAGCAAACTTTCCTCATCCACATTTCATGTTTGTTATTTATTATTGGCATTCTGGTAACATTAATGTGCTAGGTGATGATTACACACCAAGGAAGATACAGTCCCTGCCATAAAGAGCTTCCAGTCTAAGAAAAAAAGCAACATAAAAACTTTGAGGGAGAGGAATGGATTAAAGCAGGTAAGCAAAATATATACTCTTCAGCTACCCCTCCACCTATTAATATTAGTCAGCTAGCTTCTTTTAGGTATCAAGGCTGAAGTAGAACTGAAGCAGAGATTTGGAGGATAGAGGAAATGCCTTATGGATCAGTTCAGGGAAGGAATTCTGCGTGTTACCAAGGGGTGCACTGGAAGAAAACACGAAAACCACTGTCAGAGAGGTGGACAAATGGAGGTGGCAACAGAGGCAGGTGCAGACATTGGGGATACCATGATGAGAGACAAAAGTAGTTAAGTAAGGAGTCGCAGAGTTGGTAACAACCTTGAAGGTGAGGAGAAAAGCTCCTCTCCTGGTGTGGAGCAGAAGCTTCTTCTTTCTGTGTTCAGAGTGAGTTTCAGAGATGCAGTGACAAGGGACGAGGATGAATGAAGCTGCAAGTTGTCTCACATCTGCAAACTTAAGGTGCTGAAAACTATGACAGCCTTGTACATAAGAATGGATCTAATACTTATGCAGGTACTCCATACCCCTGATTACAAGCGTCCTACTGCAACTCTTAGATGTGCTGCACAGAACTCACAGCTCAGGGGAAAGCAATGGTGATTTTACACCACTTTTACACACTCCTGATTTTGTGCTGCTCTGTGGCCCCCGGCATAACAGACACCCCTAGGGGCTTGGCTAAGTCATGGCAGCGTGTCCCCAGTTACCTATATGCAACATAAATGTTTACAGTGCTACATGTTGTGGCCCTGCCAGCAACATGTCCCTTCCTCCCTGCCCCCGGTATGCACTCTGCATTAGAGCTTGCAAGGGGCTCCTCAGAATACAGGCTTAGTTCCTGAGCTGGGGGAATCTGTTCCTGATTGGATTCAGGTTTTTAGAGCTCCTTTATTCCACTCTGACCCTTTTACATGATGTAAAGGGGCCAGAATGGGGATAAGGTTCTCACCCATATTGTAACACAATGGACATTCTTGCCAGTGAAACTCCAGGTTAAAGGGAGGTCTAAGTGGTTAGAGAGGAGGAAAATAGTGATGCTAACCATATATTTATTAACACCACCATTCTGGGACACTGTAAGAAAGAAAACAAATGAACTGAAACTTGAGTGTTTCATATAATGTGATGCCAGTAATAATGTTATAAGCCATGAAAATCACAATCAACTTCTATTGCACTTATTCCACTTACTATGATGTTTTCAGTGTCCACAATGGATATATTGCAACTGTACTAACCCCTTTGATACTCCAGCTCTGTCATTTACTATCTTCACTTCTTTCACACACCCATACTGGGCAAAAAACTTCCTTAGGTCATTTTCGTTAGTCTAGTAAAATAAAGCATAAGAACAAAATGAATACAAATGGGTTTAGTTATTAAATAAGAAATAACCACAATATTGCTTTGGTTTGGACACATTTAACAACAAACTACTTGTAAATCCTGGGAGCAACTATTTATTAAAAACACTAGAAACAGAGAAAAGCCTCCAAGGTGAATGTTTCTGAGACTGTTTTGGGGAGACGGTGGGTGTGGGTGTGGAGGCAGGGCTGGGGTGTGAGAGCAAAAGAGAGAGAGCAGGTAATAATCTCAGTTTTTCTCCTACATGATTTTAATCTTCAGAAATAAATCTAAGTATATACTGAATTTACATTATAATTTTACTTCAATAATCTTGTAACTCAATTATATCTGAATTCCATTTGGTCTCAGACAAGTTTTTCAGTTCTATATTTTAGTGTCGTTTATAACATGAGGCATTATAATTTAGAGATCATTTTAAAATTTAAAACTGGGCATATGTGCGTAGACTTCCATGAAGAATTTGCTAAGTTTGAAAAACAATCATTAAGATACAGTGAAGTTATTAGCCCATATTATGCAGGTCAAACTAAATTATCATAATTGTCCCTTTTTACCATAAAGTCTATTATTGAAACACTGTGTACCACAAATGCATAATATGTTCATTTTCCGTACTGATAAAAACATGCATCAAGTATGGTCTTCCAGAAGATTTATGTATCTAGAAGTACAGACATTGAAATAAATATACCAGGCATTTGAATGTCTGATCCTGTGTGACTGTTGATTTGGCATGTGTTGAATCTCATGCTTCAATGCTGGTGCACATTAATATTTGGATGCCTCAAGCCACTCCTGGATGGATCTAGAGTTCTCAGAGCCTCAAGGAAGTATATCAGAAGTTTTAATGTGTTTCTTTGATTCACCAGTCGTTTTTTAAAATGTATGGTATATGTTGGAAAAATTATTCTTCCACTTCTCCAAGGTTTACACTGCCTTGTATATGCCTCTAAGGAGCAGGGGAGTTTTTACTGATTACAGAGTTAATATAAGTTATCATAATGGTTGTGTCATTGAGACATTTGATGAATACTTTTTTGGAAGAATTTTATCTTCAAGATGTATTTTATAAAAAGGTGCTATTTTCTTGGTGCTGCAAATTCACCCCCCCCCCCCCCCCAAAAAAAATAGAGACAGAGAAACGGTGTGCAGCCACAGAACGTCAAAAACACAGAGAAGAATAGTAGGTAAGAGTAGATCTGAGCAGGTAGGAAATGTACTCCAAGGACTCATTACAGGTAAGAAGTCTTCCTCTCTGCTTTGAAAATTAACCCCACTGAGTCCCACTTTCAGAAGATTAAAGTAACAATCCACCAAAGGAGGGCTTAAAAGTACTAACAAAACAGAGACTGCAGAATTGCTCTCCTGACTTGAATATCACACCTAGTCCCTAAATCCAAGAACACATTCTAAGCATATTTCCATAAAGCCTTATGGGAGGTACCGTCACAAGGGTATTAAGCTCCAAGTTACAAGATACAATAATTTCAGATATAGATGTAGAATGTCAGCTAGACTTAGGATGACCAGATATCCCAATTTTATAGGGACAATCCTGATATTTGGGACTTTTTCCTATGCAGGCACCTATTACCCCATATCCCCATCCTGATTTTTCACATTTGTTATCTGGTCACCCTAACTAGACTTATGAGAAAGGAGATTTGGAAGAACTGGTAGATGGGCATAGTCAGAAGGTTAAAGAACTAAACTTGCCATACTATGAAGATTATATAAATTCTGTCTTACTATATATCTCTAGGAAATAAAGGCAATGAGGGAACCTTGGTTTCAATCAAGGAGCAAGCTTCCCTGCCCACAAAACAGAAATGTGGACAACCTGGTGATGTCTCTTGTGGCAAAGAGGTCCATATTTAAGGATTCCCCACTTCTGTGTCCACAGAGTTCTTCAGAAACAACTTGAATTGTACACTGAACATGCAGCTCAGTTTGTCCACCAGGATGCTTTCCTCGCCTATGAGAAACTTTATTTAAACCAAAATATCTTGAGGCATGGTCAGAGTCTGTTGAGGCCTATTACCAGTGCAAAAGGAGTTTCAGCTTAGTTCTGGAGAATGTGGAGGACATATGTACATGAGACCATGATCACCAGAAACCTTAGGAAATATCATATTGTGTCCTGCGGTCTCATGAATATAATTTTCCTCTGGAATGAAATTGTCCTGTGGTCTCTTGCAGCTAAGCTGCTGCAGAGAAGCAAAGACATGAAGGGAAACAGGAATAAAACAATGATGCTAGATTTACTGCATAGTTATCAAGTGTCCAGTCCAATATGATGTCTAGAAGTTTACTAGAATGTGCATGAGAACTTCTAGCTTTTTTGTTGGCTCCTGTACATATCAGAATGCAAAGGCTATTGCTGTGTTCTTTAAAAGTGCTAATGTTGAGCAATAGGCTAAGATGCTTGGCTCTGGCACTAGAGAAAGAGGACCGATTTACTTTGAAAATATGTTGTTAAAGACCATAGACTTGGCCTCTGTAAGCTTTCTAAGCCTTATCTGTCATTCTGCTGAAGAGAGTGGAGCTTACAAATGAAAGAGACTTGAATTCTTCAGTCACAAATTGTGCATCAAGAATAACTGCTGTGGTGATTGACCAAGTTGCTGTATCAGAGGAAATGAAAGCAGTAGAACTGGTTGGAAAGAGGAAACACTTTTTTGTGAAAATTTTACTGAAAAACCTGTTTTTCCATCAATTTTGAATTTTTTTTCAACCAGCTCTAGCAAGCGGCTCTCAAGGAGTATGACACTCTCTGGCCTTTGGAAAGATTTCCTTCCAGATTGGGAGGATCTAAGATTGGCAGGAATCTATCCTAGTTTTTGAATCCACATCTCACTAAGCCCATTTGGTAGTAAGCTTAGCTGAAAGGGTTATTTCCCCTTTCCAATGAAATTCATATTCCTTACTCTCACTTTCTGAGGGAGAGATGACCTAAAGCTTTCCCACCTTTAGACCGCTCAGCTACTGCACAAACAATTAGACACCCTTCATAGACAGGATAAGTATCAAACTTATTTGAATACTGATGGTCCCTGACCTAGCTAGCCACAGAAAAGACAAAATTGGGAGGGAGACAGAAGTCTTTACCAGAATATTTTTTTTATACAAAGAACTACTCTGCCCTCCTAGTGAAGCTCCAAATATACTGAAGAGCCTGTACAATTTCGTCTCAACAGTAAAAACATGAATTTCCAGTGCTTGAGCCACATGATTAAAAAGATCCTGGAAGCTCTTGTAATTATTATGCAAGATATGCTGGGTAAATTGTCAACCATAATGATGGACAAGATAAATATCCTCCATATCCATTCTTTTCTTTCTCTTAATCTGAGTCAGTGCTCAATGGGTCCTCTGACTAACTGCATTAAGGCAGAGAGGATACTGATGGTGGGAAAGAAGGAACAGCTAAACAGACCAAAAGAAGCAGAGGTCCAGGGTTCTAAAGTGGTAAAAAAGAAAATGAGAGCAGCAGGGAAATCACCAAATGTTCAGATCAGCAAAGGAGTGTGCATATGGCCCCATATTTATTGCCTTTTGGAGGGTCCAGAGCATGTAGCATCAAGGCTGCATGTGTTCAGTTAGGATATGTACTAGCAATACTCTGTGGCAAATCCTTAAGCAAACATGCTTACTTTTCCTAGATATTACCCTTTGTAACAGGATGGCTTGCCCCTTTATGGGCCACAGGCCTGTGCCCAGCCAACCCTGATTACTGAAGAGGCACACGTGAGCGAGATTAGCTGTCTCCCTATAAAGGATAGCAAGAAATAGAAGAGGAGAAGGTAGAGAGAGAGTTGTAGAGACTACCAAAGAGAGGAGGCTTAGTGGTAGCTTTGGAAGATATATTCCTCAGGGCAGAGACTAAGGCTAGCAGGGTAACTGCCATATTGTCACTTTGGTTTGCTGTTTTGGAAAATGAACAAAAGCCTGGCCAGAACGGCCTGTGAGACTTTTCTTGTGTCTATTTGGTAGCACAGCCCTGAAGGAGGGGGAAGTTGATGGCAGGGCACTGCAGAGGCATCTCAGGCAATGAGGGGGTGCACAGGAGACATGACCCCACAACAAAGTAAAGAAAATATGCTTAACTTCCTTTTATTGTGAAATGGATGAAAAGTCAACAGAGTTGAAGATACAGATACTTACTAATATATGGAGATGTTTGTTACCTACAGTACTGTGCTGTGTAGAAAAAAGGAATAAGGAGATTTTGTAATTCAAAGATGATTTATGTAGTGGACTAGATTATACATTTTTAGAGCAGAATTTAAAAAAATACTTCTAGATTGTCATTTTTAGCTCTATCTACAAAACATCTGTATTACAAATAACTTTTCAGATATTTTTAAAAAGGCTTAGTTTACACCTCTAATTAGGATATTATTGCAAAGACCACCATCATCTCACAACCTTAGATACACTTACACCTAAAATGCATAAAACTAATGAATATATAAAGTGAGACTAATAAAGAAAAAATATCAAAACATTTATTCTATTACTTATCTACCAAGATTAGAAAAAAATACCTTAAAATCGATTCCTCCTACAAAGATGCGATTAGGAATAACTGTTCCAAATCTTGGGGCACTCGTTGGGTTATTTAAAGGCACAGGTGACACAGTGTTGGGGGATGGAGACAAAGATTCTGTTTGTGTCTGATTTGTGGTTTGCTGTTTGAGAGAAAAATATTTTTGTAAAATTTATTTTTGACATTTTGTAGAGTATAAACCACTAAAGCAAAAAACATCCACACAGAAAAACATGTGGAGATTCTTTGAGAACACACAACATACTGAACAGTCAAACGTTTACCATGATTTATTTATTTCTAACCAATGGCAATTATCCACAATTCTTCCAGGGCCCTTATTCAGGCTTATTCAGTAAGGTACTTAAACATGTACCAAATAAGCATGTCATGTGCTTCAATACCCTACTGAATTGGGCCTCAGACTAAGATCTTTGGGTTACGGTCTATTTTTTATTTTGTTTGTACAGCACCCTGCACTATGGGGGCCCAAGCTTGACAAGACCTTCTGGTTGCTACTGTAATAAAACATATAATAATGAGGAGTGCCTTACTTTAAACTGACAAAAGGCAGTCATCATCCACCACAGGACAGGATTCCCACTGCACTCCAATCATGGATAACAGAACTGGAATGGACCTTCTGTCCAACCACATGTCTCACAGACTGGACTCTGCACTATCCTATGCTTTCTATGCATTTCCAAAATTATGTGCCTTGAACACATCTTGTGCCTGATTTTCAGAAATGCTAAGCACCCACAACTCCAAATGAAGTCAATGGGAGGAACAGGTGCCCAGCACTTGTAAAGATCAGGCTCCCAGGGCTGGATTTTCTGGTCCAGGAAGGACACTTCGCTTTTCTTACACAGTGCAAAATGGCCTTACATTGGCTGTAAATTCTAGCAGACAATCTCCCCCCCACCCCGTGCACGGGGAGTCTCTGCTAGTGTAAAGCTGACAAAGGCAACATAGTTGCCACCAATGCCAGCTACACCTTACCCAGCCATAAGGGAAAGGGTAAGGCATAGCTTGCTGGAGCATGAGCATAGTGGAAGTTAGAATAGCTGCCCTACTGTTCTAATTTCCTCTGGTTTGGGCAGCCAAGGATCAAGAGACCATAACCAGCTCCCTGCAGCTGCCACTGTTTGACTGTCTCTATTTTAAAAAAAGGTTTAACATCCAAACTAAGTGTATCCTTGCCTTAATCCAGTTTAGTAGTATACTGTATAAATAATTTTTTCATGTAATCCTAAAGTATTATATATGTATGTTTTCAAATCACCCATTATGCATTATTTTTTGTCTTTCTGCATAAAGTTAGTCTCAAAATTATCCTTATGACTGCCAATATTTAAACTCTTTTTTGACTTTTTTCATATCGATTTTCATGTGTAGGAATCCGAAGAACAGTGATTGAAATCCTGACTACATCGAAGTCAATGACAAAACTTCTACTGACTTCACCTAGTATTCCTGATGCAGTCTTACTCACACAGTAAGGAGTCATGATACTAATTTAATTTTATAAGTTATTTCTCTTCTAACAACATTGTACAACTGCTTGACCCATTAAAAATGGGTATCATATTCTGTGCACTTGCTTTCAATTTGTTATCCCACAAAAGTTCTCCATATTCGTTTTATAGACATATTCTGCCAAGCTATGATCTTGCATCTTTTCATATTGGAACTCCTACAATTAAGTTTTAATTTCCCCAAATACCTTGCTCCCTCTGAATTTTAGCATTTCATCTTTTGTGTATTACTTCCCAGTTTTGTTTCATCAGGAAATAAATGTAAGATAATGTTTAACTTATTTTCTTTCAGGACATTATAAGATGTACTGAATAATAGTGACCCCCAATACAAGACTCTGCAGAACCTCCAATATCTCCATTTTCCCCCTTCCTCATGAGGCTGTTCCTTCTCTGAATTCTCAATTAGTTTTTTGGAAAAATTCAAGTAGCGTTCAATGCAAGAAAAAACTCTTCACATGAGAACACAATAGTAAGATTGAGAAAGAATTTTAGCACTCAGAAGTCACGAAACTCCCAAAGTTAAAGTTGTTCTTGCAATTAACTTTGCAATGATCCACATATATAGCATTTCTTTTATTCTTTTGACTTAAATTAAAAAAATACACACAATGTTTAACCTACTATTGATATAACACCTGAGTTCTATAAGTAAAAGGTAAGAGAAAAATTATCTATTTTTTGTTTTTGTATATTTGAAAACACTTTGCCTTAGTTTCAGTTTACCCTGAATACTGAATTAGTCACTTTCCCTTTTCTATTTATCAAGCTATTTATATAATCATAGAAAGATAAGGCTGGAAGGGACCTGGTCCCAAAGTCCAGCCGCCTGCACTGAGACAGGACCAAGTAAACCTAGATCATTCCTAACAAGTGTTTGTTCAACCTGTTTTTAAAAACCTCCAATGAGGGGGCTTCTACAACCTCCCTCGGAAGCCTATTCCAGAAGTTAACTACCCTTATTAAGTTTTTCCCAATATCTAACCTGCATCTCCCTTGCTGCAAAGTAAGCCCATTACTACCTGTCCTACCTTCAGTGGCAGGGCCGGCTTCAGGGTTTTTGCTGCCCCAAGCGGCGGGGGGGGGAGGGAGGGGGGAAAGCAGCGATCGTGATCGGCGGCACTTCGGTGGCAGGTCCACCGCGCTGCTTTCTTCTTTGGCGGCACTTCGGTGGCAGGTCCTTCCCTCCGAGAGGGACGAGGGACCCGCCGCCGAATTGCCGCCGAAGACCCGGACGTGCCGCCCCTTCCCCTCGGCCGCCCCAAGCACCTGCTTGCTGCGCTGGTGCCTGGAGTCGCTTGGGGCGGCGGCTCGGAAGAGGGGCGGCACGTCCAGCTATTCGGCGGCAATTCGGCGGACGGTCCCTCGCTCACAGCTGCTCGGGGCAGCCAAAACCCTGGAGCCGGCCCTGCTGGAGCCGGCCTGTTCAGTGTGCATGAAAAACAATTGATTACAGCCCTCTTTATACCAATCCTTAACATATTTGAAGACTGTTATCATGTCTCCCCTCAGTCCTCTTTTCTCAAGACTAAACATGCCCAGTTTTTTTTAAACTTTCCTCATAGGTCAGGTTTTCTAAATCTTTTATAATTTTTGTTGCTCTCCTTTGGTCTCTCTCCAATTTATCCACATCTTTCCTTAACTGTGGTGCCCAGAATTGGACACAGTACTCCAGTGGAGGTCTTACCAATGTCAAGTAGAGTGGGACAATTACCTCCTGTGTCTTACATACAACAATCCTGTCAATACACCCCAGAATTGTAATAGCCTTTTTTGCAACTGCACCACATTGTTGGCACATTTTCAATTTGTAATCCACTGTAAACCCCAGATCCTTTTCAGCAGTACTTCTACAAAATGCAAAATAACTGGTTAGGTGGTTGTGCATTTGATTTTTTTCTTCCTAAGCATAGTACTTTCCACTTGTCTTCACTGAATTGATTTCACACCAATTCTCTAATTTGTCCAAGGTCATTTTGAATTCTAATCTTGTCCTCCAAAGTGCTTGCAAACCCTCCCAGCTTTGTGTTATCCACCAATTTTATAAGCATATTCTCAAGTCATAAATAAAAATACTGCATAGTACCAGACCCACAAATGACCTCTACAAGAACCCACTAGATAGCAAATAATTGACAACTATTATTTGAGTACAATCTTAAAACAAGTTGTGAGCCCATCTTATGGTAATTTCATTTTGACCACATTTTGCTAGTTTGATTATGACAAAGTCATGTGGAACTGTCAACCTTCCTAAAATCAAGATATACCATGTCTACTGCTTCCCCCATATCCACTATTCCAGTAACCCAGTTCGAAGGAAATTAGGTTGGTTTGGCATGATTTGTTCTTGACAAATCCCTGCTGGCTATTCCTTATAACCCTATTATCTCTAGGTGCTTACAAACTGATTGTTTAAATTAATTTGTTCCAATATCTTTCCAGGCATCAAAGTTAGGCTGCCTGGTCTATAATTTCCCAGATCCTCTTTGTTCCTCTTGTTAAAGACAGGTACTATACTTACCCTTCTCCAATCTTCTGGGACATCACCTGTCCTTCATGAGTTCTCAAAGATACATATAGGACTCCTATCATCATAGTATATAAGCTCCTCACAATCATAAGTATTTATCCTCATAATACACTTGCAAAGTTCCCATCATCCCAATTTTACAGATGGGGAACTAAGCATAGAGACTGGACATGATCCAAATCCCACTGATCTCAATGGGCGTCTTTCCATTGATTCCAAGAGGCTTTGGATCATGCCATAAGTGACTTGCTCAAGATCATCCAGGAAGTCTGTGGCAGAGCTCGATATTGAAACCAGGCTTCCTGAGTCCCAGACCAGTCTCAGAACCAAATTTCACAAATTCCCTCAAAAGAACTTGGTGTCTACATGTTTGGGATCAGCTTAATTACTCATTCATGTTGCATGTTCTGATTATGTGAATCACAGGATGGTTAAGGTTTTTTCTGCCCTTAACATTAACAGCCGATTTATTTTTGCCACATCCTTGCTCCTGGTCAGCTCGTATATATGCTAATGGTCACACTCCAACTGTATATTTCAGAGAGGATTTTTTAAGCCTGTGTTGAAACTGTAGAACAGACAAGTGTGACCGTTCTTGAGGCAGTTGATTGATTACTTTTCTGTCACTAATCAATGGCCTTGAGCCATTCCATTGATATGATGTGCTCTCCCGTCCCTACAAACTAGCACCTAAAGTGATGATTCCATTGTGGGAGCCCACAGGCATCCCTTTAACTAGTTTTCAGCTTTTAACCAACAGCTTAAAGTATGACAGACATGGCAGCATTAGCAATTTTTGGAGGTCCTTAAGAGTTCAACTTCCACTGAGAGGGAGAGATATCTGAAGATAACAGAGAAGGATCTATAATTGTACTCTGCACTGTCTATCCTGAGTATGTCTAGTTTAGTGCTGAATTGGGTTTTCACATATAGAGGTTCTGCATAAGAATTAGCATAATTTCTTTCTGTTGAAAATCAGCTCTGTTAACAACTATGGAGATGGCTACCCTGGTCAACATTTCAGCTTGACCCAGTCTAGCCAGTCATTCAGGCTAAATGAAAAGACACTCC